GTCCGGTACGGGGGCAACACTGAGGGTTGCGATCCGTTGCCGGACACGGAAAAAGACAAAAAAAAAATAAAAATAAAAAAATAAAAAATAAAATAAAAAATAAAAAATAAAAAATATTTCTCAAATGGCGTCTCATTATTATTTTGCTTTACCTTTATTTCATCATCAGTGAGGTTGAACATCTTTTCGTACATTTCCAGACCATTATTATTTATTTTTCTTTGTAAATCATTTGTTCATATTATTTGCCATTTTTTTCCTACTGGTGTGTTTCTCATTTTCTTGTTGAGTTTACATAAGCCTTTCATGTATTAAGGATATTAACTCTTTGTTATAACACTTTGTCATGTATTGTTTTACTGTGGGCTGATTTTTAAAAAATTTAATGTTATAATACATTACCATTATTCTTTCTTTTTTAAAATTTAATTTATTTTTAATTAATACATAATGTACATATTTATTGGGTACATGTGATATTTCGGTACATTTATACAATGTGTAATGCTTCAATGCTCAAATTGTCTTAATTTGGGAGTCAGTGGGAGTCCCTTCAAGCCAGCTCCTGTATTCTTTTTCTTTTTCTTTTTCAATTTTTATTTTGACATAATTTCAGGCTTAAAACAGGAAAGTTATTACATAGTATAAAGAATACCTCTGTCTCCTTCACCCAGATTCTCCACATGTTACAATTTTACCACATTTGCCTTGTTGTTATTTCTCTTCATGTATACATAATTTTTTTCTGAACCATTCGAGAGTCAGTTGCAGACACGATGCCCATTCATCCCCAAATTCTTCAATGTGTATTTCCCAAAAAAACAAGGACATTCTCTTGTTTAACCTTAGTACAGTGATCAAATTCAGGAAATCAACACTGATACAATATTGTCATCTAATCCGTAGACTTTATTCAGCCTCACTGGTTGACCTGATAATGTCCTTTATAGAAAAAGAAAAAAAAAATTCTTTCTGGTCCTTTATCTGTGATATAAATTATAAATATTTTCTCCTAATTTGTCATTTGTCTTTTGGGATTTTTTATTTTTTTGGTAAGCAAAATTATTTTATTTTTGTTTTTATGCATTCACTCATTTATGTGTTTAAATTAGCCCATATAGTATAATTGACTTTTTTGTGAGTGTACAGCCATTAAATTTTCATACATGTGTAGATTTCGGTAATCACCCCCCACAATTAGAATGAAGAACAGTTCCATCACCCCCCCTGCCCAAAAAAGGGGAGCATCATCATCCCCCTTCAGTATTTTATTTTATTTTATTTTATTTTTTGTCTTTTGTCTTTTTCCGTGTCCGGCAACGGATCGCAACCCTCAGTGTTGCCCCCGTACCGGACCGGGGACCGGCAACGGGACTGCAACCCTCGGCGTCGCTCCCGCGCCTCGCTCAGCCAGTGAGTGGGAACCGGTCTGTATGTGGGATCCGAACCCTTGGGCGGGAGCGCCGCCACGCTTCCCAAGCGGCGCACTTATCCAGTGCGCCACCGGGCCGGCCCAGTATTTTATTTTTATGTGGTCAAATTTATCAATCTTTTATTGCTGCTGGATTTTGAGTCATATTAGAAAGTATTTCTCCCCCCTCACTCATCTGTGTTCTATTCAAGTACTTGTATAGTTTTAACTTTGTACATTGAAATCTCTGATCCATTTAGAGTTTATTCTGTTGTACAGTGTGAAGTTTGGATCCAGTTTTATGCATTGTCAAATGGTTATCCAGTTGTCCCAGCACCATTTATAAAAAAGTCCATATTTTCCCCAGCAAATTGGGATGCCACCCTTATCATATATTAATTTTTTCACATACACTGAAGTCTTTTTTTGGCTTTCTGTTCTGTTGGTCAGTCTGTTCATTTGCTGGTACCAAGCTAGTTATTCATAGCTTTTCAGTACGTTTAATACTAGCTGGTAGAGTTAATCCCCCTCATTGTTCTTTTTTTAAGTTTTCCCTGCTATTCTTACAATTTTTCTTTTCTTTTTACAAGAACCTCAGAATCAACTTTTTTTTAGCTCCCAGGGGGAAAACTTGTATTTTTATTGGGATTACATTAAATTTATGTATTAACATGGATACAGATTTCAATATCTTTATGATATTGAGTGATCCCTGTTCAAGTCTATATTTGTGTCTTTCAGTTTTTTAAAAAGTTTTCTTTACATAGGCTTTGTATATTGCTTGTTTTTAACAGTATTATTTTTTGTTGCTATTATAAGTGGGATTTTCCTTCCATTATATCTTCTAGCTAATTATTGTTTATATATGAGGGTGATTGATTTTTTATATCCTGTTACTTTACTGAATTGTTATACTGTGTGTTTTTATCAGATTCTCTTGGGTTTTCTACATATCTGACCATAGATAATCTGCAAACAGAGATAGTTTTACTTCTTTTTCATTTATCATATCACTTTTCTCATCTAATTGCATTTGGCCTGTATCTCCAATGTTTTGTTAAATAGTTCCTGACCTTAGTTGAATTGCCTCTCGTATTTTCCATTAAGATGCCAGATTTCCAGCTGAGGCGTATGCATGTGATCATGTAAATGTATCCAGCAATTCCTATTTTATTTTTATGACTTTCTTTTTCTTTTCTTTTTATTTAATTATTTTTATTTATTATTAGCCTATTCATTCTTATAAATTGTGATATTTCTTAACACCCTTTACCCGACCTATCACATTCCAAACCCCCTCTCTCCCTCCCCCGCATCTCTGGTATTCTTAGGTTTGTTCTCTCCTGAAAGTTCAACATATTGTTGTGGTCTTTTCTTTCTTTCCCTCATTCCTTCCTTCTTCCCTCTTTTCATCCCCTCCTGCCCCCCTCCCTTCTTTCCTTCCTTCCTAGCAGCTAGTTATGATTGAGAACATGTGATATTTCTGTTTCTTTGTTATGACTTTATTTTTCTAATTTATAAAGCTTTAACTTAACTGGGATTTATCTTTTTATAGGAGTAAGGCAGACTTTTTCTATTTAATTAATTTCTGCTTTTATCCTTATTAACTCCCATCTGCTTTCATTAGGTTTGCTTTCTTCTTTTATATTCTTTAAATTTTTTTAATTGACACATTGATTATACATATTTATGGGGTACAGAGTTATATTTCAATACAGGTATGCAATGTGGGGTGATCAAATCATGGTAATTAGCATATTCACTTTTTTAATTTAAACATTAAAATTCTTCAGGGTTACAGATTTTCCTGCATATGGCTTTAGCCACGTCCTTTAAGTTTTGGTATATGTTTTTTTCATTTTTCTTATTTTCTAAATAGTCTGCCATTGATTTTTTTTCTTTGTTTTCTCTTTCTCTTTCATCTCATTGTTAACTAGGAGAGTAGGTATCAAGTTTTAGTTAGTAGTGCATTTTTTGTTTAAAATATTATTTCCAGCTTTATACCATTGTAATTGGAGAACATAGTCTGTTCTATTTTTTGGAGTCCATTGACATTTACTTTGTGACCTAATCTATAGTCAGTTTTAATACATATTTCATGAATTCTTGAAAAGAAATTGGCATTTCCTTGTAGGATTCAAAGATATCTATATATCTAAAAGTCTGACATTAATATTTGTTAATATAACTTTTGTTATATTAATTAAATATTTATCTTTATTGATATATATATAATTATATATTAATTACATTAATTCCTCTGATCTTATTTTATTTCTGTCAACTTTGTGTGTTATAACTTCTCTATTAGTTTCTCTATTTTTTTATTGATGCATAATTTTTTAAATTAATTTTTTTATTGCTTATGATATTCATGGGGTACAAAGTAAATTGTCACCACTCATGCCTAAGATGTGATGGCTATAGATCCATACTGGCAGCATACCCATTACCACAAATTGTGATTATACCCCATGTCCCCCACCTAATTATCCCTGCAATTATCCCCAACCTCCCTCCCCATCACCCTTTCCCCACTCCACTTTGTATCCCTAGGTATGTTCTCTCCCTCTGCAAGTCCAATGCACCATTCTGGTCTTTCTTTCCTTCCTTCTTTTTCTCTTAGCTCCCACTTATCAGTGAGTACATATGGTATTTATCCCTCTGTGCTTTGCTTATTTCACTCAACATAAGTTTCTCCAAGCTCATCCATGTTGTTGCAAGTGGGAGAATTTCATTCTTTTTTATGGCAGAGTAGTATTCTATGGTGTATATATACACATTTTCCTTATCTAATCTTCCGTCAATGGACATTTAGGTTGGTTCCATATCTTGGCTATTGTAAACAGAGCTGCGATGTACGTGAGAGTGCAGCTATCCCTTCGACATGATGATTTCCATCCCTTTGGGTATATACCCAGGAGTGGGATTGATGGATCATATGGAAGATCTCTCTGCAGTTGTTTGAGAAACCTCCATACTGTTTTCCATAGTGGTCGTACTAATTTGCAGTCCCACCAACAGTGTAAGAGCGTTCCCTTCTCTCCACATCCTCACCAGCATTTGTTATTCTCCATCTTTTTGATTATAGCCAGTCTAACTGGGGTTAGATGATATCTCAATGTGATTTTAATTTGCATTTCCCTGATAACTAGTGGTTGAGCATTTTTTCATGCACCTGTTGGCCATTTGTATGTCTTCCTTTGAAAAATGTCTATTCAGTTCCTTTGCCCATTTTTTAATTGGGTTATTTGTTTTTTTACTGTGTAATGGTTTGAGCTCTTTGTATATTATGGCTATTAACCCCTTGTCGAATGCATAGTTAGCAAAAATTTTCTCCCACTCTGTAGGTTGTTGTTTAGTTTTTTCATTAAAGTTTTTGATTTTTTAATTGATGCATAAAGTTTCGTGATTTATACCTTTGTTATGCATTAGGACCTTTTTCTTTTTTCTTTTTTTTTTTTTCCTTTTTGTCTTTTTTTTCATGTCCGGCAATGAGTGAGCGGGAACCGGTCTGTATGTGGGATCTGAACCCTCGGCGGGAGCACCACTGCACTCCCAAGCGGCACACTGTAGCAGTGCGCCACCGGGCCGGCCCATGCATTAGGACCTTTTTCAACATAAAATAACTGTCTTTGTCCCATTTAATGTTTTTATATTGGCCTTGAATTCATCTTCGACCTTGATATTGTCACCCATTTTTTGGGTGTTCCTGCTATATCCTTGTCTTAACTTTTTATTTTCAACCTTTCTATGTTATCTTGTTCTAGATTTGTCTTATGTACAGACTGTTTCAACTTTGTCTTGTCTTCTAATTTGAAAGTTTCTGCATTTAAAGTCAACAGTGTCTTACTCTTTTATAAAATAAATAGATATGGGGAGATTGTTAACATTAATCTTGTGCGGGACAAGAAGACCGGGAAATCCAAAGGATTCTGTTTCCTCTGCTATGAAGACCAGAGGAGCACAGTTCTGGCCGTTGACAATTTTAATGGGATCAAGGTGAGTGTGCTTATTGAGCAGGATTTCACTGGATTTTTTTTCGTGTTTCATTTTCCACCTGGTCCCCCCAGGCACCAGGACAATACTGGTCAGTTGGTTGTGTTGTGAGGGCTGCAGAAGTCACACTGGGCCAGGACTTGATTGCAGGAAATAATTCTGTTGGCCCATTGCCCTGCCGGGACTTGCTCCTTTTCCCCATCTGGTAGCAAACGACCTCCCCAGGATCATAGGCCCATGCCTGCCCCCCATCCAGGCCTCTTTTTTTTTTACCTCTCTCTCCTTACCCTCCACTTATATCTCTGGTGCACTGGAGAATGAAGAGACAAACAAACACTGCTGTTCCTTATTGTTCTGTATCAAGGGATTTGGGCCTTCATCATGGCTCCATGACCTAGGACATAGCCATGTATGTCTGTCATATGTTTCTAGTGACCTTGCATATTGGGTCCTGGAAATTCTTTAGTTAAAATCTGATGACAAATTCTACAAAAGTAACTTATTCTGAAATTTACTGCCTTCTGTTCTTTCTCATCCCCTCCCTTGTAAGTGAGGCACTGAGCTGAGAGAAGGAGATGGGGCAAGTCGGGCTTACTTATGCTCCACATGGTCTCTACACTCATTTAGGAAAAATGCTGCAGTTGAAATGAGCATTGTCACAGGGCGGGGGGTGACTCTTGATTTGGAGTGTTTGTCATTGAATGCACCAGTATGGAACAGCTGGAGATTATAGAACTGGGTAGAACAAGGTTCTAGGCTTGATTTTTAAGGGAGTCAACAGTCAGAGGGAGTCACTGTAAAAGGCAGGCTTTCAAAAATGTTTCAAAATGGGAATAAGATGGATGACAGAAACTGCTCAGGCTTAAAGGTAAGAATTAAAATCTGCTCTTGTATTGGGACAATAAAAACTAAACTTTAAAAATTTCGGATGCTTTTGCCTATGGAATAACTCTGTATCTGCCTGAAAAGAGAATGTTTTTATTTTAAGTGAGGGGTTAATTTTTTGTTATTGTTCACCTGGAGAGTTGTGAGTCATAACACAAGAAACAATAGCAGTGATTGTTCCAGTAAGGTGAGGGTGTAGCAAGGTGTGAGGGCTTAAGAAAAAAGAAGGTGGTCTTTTCTTGGTTCCTTCTCCCCTCCCAACTATTCGTCTGACTTTGCCTCCTCCTAATTACTGTGCTGGGAAAGCAGCTATAATATTAAGCTAGGTTTCAGGAATTCCTTCTAGTTGCCAGGCTTTCCCAGGGTGTGTTTCACTGTAAACTGCTGTTACAGATTAGGGGTAATTCATTATGCTTCTAAATTCTCACAGTCTTCTCTGATGCTTGTGCTTTGGGGCAGTACTTCCCAGCCTTTTTCCACTTCATGGCACACATAGAATATGAAGATATTTGTATAGCACTCTGGGTTAAACTGATAAGCCTGCTGGTACAACCACCCCAGGGGCTCCAGCTGCCCCAGGCCCCACCTGGCTGTCCCGAAGGCTGAGTATATTAATATCTAGGTATATGTACATTCTGTGACACACCAGTTGGGCAGGTCTGTGTTTGTGATTTCCCCAGAAATAAAATTAGCAAGAAAGTAATAGATGTGGTTCAAAATCATGGTTCTCTGCAGCTTGGGTTGAAATAGTTTGGTATGAGGGCTGTGTTTGCTGAAGCATTGCTTGTTTTGCTTAGATCAAAGGAAGAACTATCCGAGTGGATCATGTGTCTAACTATCGAGCTCCTAAGGACTCAGACGTGGATGATGTGACCATAGAGCTCCAGGAGAAGGGCTGTGGGGCCCCTACCCTCCCACTGAGTTTGTCTGAGAGCTCTGAAGATGACAAACCCACAAAAAAGCACAAAAAAGGTAAAGAGTTAAGACCCAAGAGAAGATTCTGGGTGGTCTTAGTGTCTGCTCTTTCCAGCATTCACTGATGACTGACACTCAACTCTTTCAACTCCTAAGTGTGAAAGGAGAAAGTGTGGGGAACCTTAGTTTAATTGGAAAAAGGGGAGATACCAGCGGAAGGCTAGTGTTATGGGTTGAATTGTGTCCCCCAAAATTGATACATTGGAGCCCTAACCCCCAGTACCTCAGAACGTGACTTATTTGGAGATTGGGTCTTTAAAGGTAATTCTGGGTGCGAATTGCCTTGTACAGCAACTTGACATATCAAGGGTGGTAGACACCTGAGTTGGCTTCTCAGAGGCACTTTCCTGGAAGCATGGACTGTGACTGCTTCACGCTGCTGTCAAAAATGTTTTTCTTATGCAAATTCTCCACCTCCTGGCATGGGAACAGTTTTGAACTATAAACCCCTGTGTTTGATGTAACGTACTCAGAGAAGAAAGGCACTTCTTTTAAGAAGTATTTAAAATTGTTGTCCTTTTCTTTTTGCCACCCCCTTCCCCCCTTTTTCCTCTAGACAAAAAGGAAAAAAAGAGAAAAACAGACAAAGAGAAGACTGACCAAGAGGTACAGGTAGAACAGCCAGCCTCCTCTTCATCGCCCAGAAGCAAGACAGTAAAGGAAAAGGATGACGCTGGCCCTAAGAAACACAGCAGCAAGAACTCAGAGAGGGCTCAGAAGTCAGAGTCCAGGGAGGGGCGGAAGTACCAGCCCGGTTCCCCTGAGGTCAGGACTGCCTGCCGTGGGGGAGAAGAAGACCTGGACAGGGAGTCGAAGAAGGAGAAACCCAAGCATGAGCACAAGTCCTCAAGCAGGAAGGAGGCAAGAGAAGAAAAGAATAGAGATCAGGACAGAGGGCGAAGCTTGGACACACACTCTAGCTGCCACAACGGGCGTCCTGAGGGGTGTAGTCATAGAAGCAGAAGCCAAGATAAGTCCCACAGGCATAAAAGGGCCCGGCGCTCCGGGGAGCGGGAGTCCTTGAATCCTATTGACCGCAGGCATCACTGAACCCTGCTCAGCTGCTCGGTAGATTTGGAAATGAATTATGTTTTTTTAAATGCAAACAAATTTACCTATGCTGTTTTTATATATAAAAATCTCTGGGGTCAAATTCTTTTAATCTCTTGTGTAGTAGAGTCATTCAGAGGGCTGTAGCTTCAACAACCAGATATTCTGGACTTTTAGCACAATCTATTGTCCCTGGGAATACACTTGGTACTGACGAGAATATATGTCCTACCTTTTGGTTCATAAATAGGGCCCTTGAACCCATAGACCCCAACTTAAGAAGATATTGCCAGGAAAAAGAAAGTACCAGACAATTAAAGAATTCTGATCTTCGTGCTAGATGCTAGAACCCAACATCACAGTACCTCTCCAGTTGGCAGGTAGGGTAGAGAAATGTGGCTTATTAGGTTTGGACAGCTGGATGTAAATGTGATTCCTAAGATCAGCCAGCTCTGTCCCCAAGCTCCTCTTTAAATTTTTTTTTTAAATGTCTTCTGTTTTTTTGGTTGATATGACTCCACAATTTTTCCTTGCTATTTATTTATGTATTTATGCATTTATTTGTATTGAGGTGAAATTCACATAACAAAGTTAACCATTTTAAAGGGAACATTCAGTGGTATTTAGTACATTCCCAGTGTTGTGCAACCAGCACCTCTATCTAGTTCTAAAACATTTTCTTCATCCCAAAATGAAACTTTGTACCCATTAAGCAATAACTCCCCATTTCTTCCTCCTCCCTGTCCCTGGCAACCACCAATTTGTATTCTGTTCCTGTGGATTTACTTATTCTGGGTATTTCATACAAGTGAAATCATACAATAGTGGCCTTTTATGTCTGGCTTTTTTCACTTAGTGTAATGTTTTTGAGGTTCATTTACATTGTAGCATGTATCAGTACTTCATTCCTTTTCATGGCTACATAATATCCCATTGTACAGGTGTACAACATTTTGTTTATCCCTCAGTAGGTTGACATTTGGATTGTTTCTATCTTTTGGGCTAGTCAGCTCCCTTTTTGTGTTGCATACATCCCAGGCTAGCTCTGGGCTTAGTCTGCTTTTCAAGTAGCTGCTCTTGCTGGACTGGGAACACTTTGTCAGGTCCATTGCCACGTCTCTCTGGTCTGCTTGGCATTTCCTTCTCATTTTGAGTTTTTGCTTTCTGTTTTATCAATCAGTCCCTCATGAGTTTGGAAGGAACTAGTTCACAGGACCTCTAATACCGTTGCTGAATTTTTAAAATTGAATTTCTGACCTTGCAAAAGGGAGGAGCAGAGCTTGAATAGTGAGAACACTAAGTTAGGTTGCCCTGTGTGTTAGTTTGGGGCCCAGATTAGATGTGCAGGAGATTTGCGGGGGGTGGGGGGATGTGGAGGGAGCTGCAGGAGTTGGAAAGCTAGCAGACTATGATGTAGGTCTAACCTCCAGAGAAGAGAGGGAAGGAAGGGAGAGTGGGTAGGAAAAGTCTTGTGGTGCAATTCAAAGAAAGTTTCAGAAAGACCAATGGTGAGTATTTGAGCCAGAGTCACCTGTCATTAGTTCTGCTAGATCAGCCTTGGTAAACATGAGTCCTTGCTGTTGGCCTCCATCTCAGCTGTTGTGGCTACTCTGCTCATGTGCCTAGCGTGCCACTTCTGTGGTGGCCAGTGACAAAGGCCCATGCACCTGGCTCGGTCATTTTGTCTGGTTGTTTTTATGTACATGGCAAGGAATTGGATGACATGATTGTGGGGGCTCGTTAGGCAAGACTGAAATTCATAGGGCAGGAGCTGATGCTGCAGTCCACAGGCAGAATTCTTCAAGGAAACCTGTTTTCCTCTTAAGGCCTTCCATTGATTGGATCAGGCCCGCCCATATTATTGAGGGTAATCTTTACTTAAAATCAACTGACTAGATGTTAACCACATCTGCAGAATACCTTCACAGCCACACCTTGTGATTGAACAACTGAGTACCATAGCCTAAGCCTAGTTGCCACATAAAACTAACCATCACAGTTTACTAACTTGTCCCTGGTGTGTGTGTGGGGGTGGGGGGGGACAGTTTCAGAGGTCTCCACTTGGCTTTTCTCACTGTGACGGCTCTTAGCCTGAAGGCTGTGGACCCGCGTGGGGGTTACTCCAACTACTAAGTCGATTCCAGTTACACACTTGGGGCTAGGAAATGACCACTGGGTAGGTCAGCAGGCCTACTGAGAATCCTATTTTAGCCAGCAGTCCAGACATTACTCAGTCTCTGTAAGCCCCCAGTCTAATGGGGGCTGCAATGATGCTTCTAGTATGTAGGTATCAGTCAGCCCAGTATTCCTCAAAATGTCTGAGTATTCTTTCCCCAGTGTATACCCAAATAAGTGGATATAGGTTCCTTTGGGGAAGTACTGGGCAAATCACATACTCGCCATCATCCTCCTTCCAGGCACCCAGCAACCTCTTTGCAGATGTGAAAATGGGCTTAAGTTTGGGAGCTGACCAAGGAATTAGAACTTTTTATTGGGAGGCAGGAGGGGGGAGCCTCCATCAGCCTCCTGTTCCTCCACTCTTTCAGCTTGTGGATATTGAGCAACACCCTTGTTGGCTGTATGTGTTGCTCCTAGGGACACTATTCCATTAGTCATCTACACTACTCCATGAAGGTAAATCCCCTTGGCAGCCCATCATCCCTTGTGGTGGTTTGTTATGTTCTCTGTGGCCTCCTGGCTTTGGGGGGTTAAGCATCTCCACCTGGTCTGTGTTACTCTGGGGCCCCATCATCCCTGTGGATATTAATGAGCCTAGTTCTGTGATGGTCTCTCTTACTGTTCTCCCTGGCCTACAGAGGTGGCCACCTGTGAACTTCGTGGTGCTGGCTCCCCTTTCACCAGTGCCTTCCCGATGGCCTCAGTGCATGGGGTGTCCTCTGGCTCCCTTTTAGAACACTACTTTCTGTTGGGGTTTTGACCTCATGTAATTTGTCCACTCCAGCATGCCCACCTCCCTCGGCCTTCTCATTTCTTCCTCTGCCATTTGCCAGGACAGCACAGGTCTTTCTGCTTTGCTCAGTGGCCATTACTTTCACCAGGCCTCTGAGAGCCACCTCAGTAGAGACATCTCACCCTCTGTGGTCCTTGCCAGGGGGTTCCTGAGAAGATGCTCCCAATTAAATGAATTCTTGCTCTTCGTACAGCACCCTTGAAATCCAAACCCAGTACTGCCTTGGCTCCTGCCAGTATGTGCCAGCCAATTTTTGCAGATCTTTGGTATATACTCCCTTCTCTTTTATTAGGTCCAGTACCTCTCCAGCCAGGTTATGTTAGGATTTAGCCCTAGTTATCAGCTTAATAACCAGGAGAGGGGCTGGGGACAGCTCCTTTGAGAGGTGTGGAGGATATTGACATTAATGATATAGAAATAAAACATGTATTTCACAGGGCCAAAGTCCTTAGTTTAATCCAAAGCCTGTAGCTTAGAAGGACCAAAGTCCTGTAGTTTAGGAGGCCAGAGCCTCTAGTTTAGGGGGGCCAAAGCCCAACCCTTTAGGAAAACACGTAGAATTGCTAAGATTAAGAAAGACCAGAAAACTTTCACAGGACTAAAGCCTTAGATGTAGATAAGAGAATGGAAGCACAGCAAAAAGTGATTGCTCTGGGGGCAGTTGCCCTTGGTGCAGCTAACCCTAAATGCTGGGAAAGTATATGAGCTAAAATCTTCAAGGATATTTTGCTAGTTAGTGCTTAGGGGAAGTTCCACATCTTGCCCTAAGCTGTTTCTTTGAGTTTCTTGGGGAGCTAAGTGCTGCTATGGTGATTATCTCTTTTCTTTTGTACGTCAAATGGCTTAATTTTATGACTCCTTTTGATGGTAAATTGCTTAAACTATTTTAAGTTGCACCTGCTTTAATGAAGATTGTCATGTAACCAGTTTGTTTATGCTTTCACTATGATTGATTAACCACCTGTGTTTCCTTCTGTAACTTTCTTGTCTTTACCATACAAACTGAAGCAAAACCTGACCATGCCTGGGCTCTCGTCTCTTGAAGGAGTTTGCCCTGGGTGCAGTCCCTTCGGGCTTCTCATTGCTCTGAATACATGGGCTCTGAGAAATCTTTTGCATCTCTGTCACTCTGTGAGAGGTGACAGGGGCCACCTCCTTTGAGGGGACATCAGTTGCCTAGTGTGGGGAGCATCCTATGCAGCACTTCCGGCTCAGGGGAAGTGCTAGCTCTTGCTGGGGAAGAGGGGGCTTCCTCTGCAAATGGATGGTGGGCCAGAGTGTCTGTAGATTGGTCAGACATTTCCATCCCATGTTGCAGAGTTCCAGGGCTTTCCAACCACATGAATTCGTGTGGCCCTGACTTCAGCAGAGCAGACCTGCTATGTAACAAATACTACTACTTAATCTCCCTGGAGTTCTGCAACTGTCACATCTTCTCTTGGGCTCAACTGTATCCGCTCCTCCACTGCAGGAGGTGAGGGCCTCTTTGTAAGCTCTACAGAAGCCCTCTGGTTCTCACACTCTGTCTTCTGCTGCTTATTGTCACCCATTTCTCATTACCCTGCTGCAGGGCATCAACACAACACTGTTAAGTTATCCAGACATCTTTGCTGCCTTCATAGACCTTAGTCCTCCTGGATTTTTCTTAGGCCGCCACTGGTACTACTTGTTCTAGTTTGGGTTCTCTGAAAGGCAGATGCCAAGATGGGATTAGACATCTGAGAGATTTATTAGGGAAAATGCCCATGAGGGAAAATGGGGAGGAAGCCAGAGGAGTCGGGGGAGCCTAACTTCTCAACTCACCCCTGTGGAGGAGAGAGGCAAGGAGAGAGCGGCAGGTGGGAAAAGTCTTAGACTGCAGGGTTATTTTTACTGTATTATAAATTGACAAATTATAATTGTATGTGTTTCCTGGGTTGTAGTGGATTGAATTATGTCCTTCCCAAACTCACTGAAGTTTGATTTATGTCCCCCAAATTTTATGTATTAGAAACTTAGCCCCCACTGTGACTGTTAAGAGGGTGGGAAATCCTATTATGGTAATTGGAAGGTGGCCTTGAAGAGGTGATTAGATTGTAGGACCGTGCCCTGGTAAATGGATTAATAATGGTGGTCAGGGGTGTGGTTCTGAGGGCTTTAAA